GAAAAGATTAATTGGTCATTAAGATCGGAATGTGAACGACGATCCAAGAAACTGATGTTGCAGTCGCTGCAAGAATATTGGTTGCCGAGAAATGTTTCAAGAAATCGACAACGCGGTGGGTGGAAACGGGACGTTACGAGGACAATGACGACAGTCGAGGTTCGTTTCGCGAATGTGGACGTGCCGAATGTTACGTGTGCACACGAGGCGGCCGTGCGCGTGTCGCCGTGACGCTTGAATTTCTGCCAGCAGACATCGACTTATGCCAACCTCCTCTTCTGTCTATATGCGGTGTTTCGCGGAGCTACGACCATCTTTTAACTTGGACAACGTTTCATTATCGGATCGATTCGATGCACCAATTTCAATAAAAATAATTTCGATCGTCCCAAATTGCAATTTGAGAAAAAGGATCGTTTCGAGCCTCGACAAATATTACTAATGCATGAATGGTATAGATACTCGTGCTTTTTGTAGATTGTTCAATTGTAAATGAATTATAATAATTAAGACTTGTGATAGTCTTTCGAAAGTTGCAAGTATATGTATTTCTGAAATTCTGTTCATTGTAAGTGGACATTAGATGTAGTATTATTCCGTTAGGAATATTACAGTTTCCTCGATTCTTAAAATTTAAATTCTCTATTGGCTACACAATATTTTTAGCGTGATACTTCTTGAACGACTGTAATTCTTTAGAAGATTCGGAGAAACTTAAATCTTTCATTTCCATCAATCCGATCGACAGTGATGTTATAAATTGAAATTTCAGGAAAAAAGCTAGAAGTTTGTTGAAGATTTATTCTAATCGGAATTTTAAAGGAATCCTTGAAATATCGAAATTGCTCGAATTTCGATGAAAATGTACGGCGATCTATGTCTAGCGGTGTCTCGACCAAGATAAAAAGAATGAGATCATTGTTGTGTTCCTTCTTTCCTGTAAGCTGACTTTTTTTGCGGTTACGCTGATGAAATTGACATTATCGTTATCGAACGGAATAGAGATTAACGCGCCGCGGTAAGAACCGGCGATATTCTACGACGCGTTACGTGTAAAGATTTATCGGGTCCAATTACCGCGGAGTTCCTGCAATAATATCTCTTCTTTTCCCTTACGTCACATCTATATTCATAATATCTGCGGGCCGTGAAAATATTATATCACTTTGAATAAAAACCGTTTCCGCGTGCCAATGAGCACGAAATATTTTATTTTTTTAGATTCATATATTAGAGTTATAATGTTAACATAATGATTGGCGGAAGATTAGGGATTAATTTAATGTTTCACTGTTGGTTTACTTAATGTTTCCATCCTTTACAAGATTCCGTTACACTCTTTGTACCATTTGCTTTGTTTTTCTGAATTAGTGGTCCCTAATTTTCTTTCTATATTAGTCAAATGTTTGTAATTAGTACATACACTTGCTATTATTTCGAATTGCCATGTTACAATTGTAATTAAGTAACCCAATGAGCTTCAAACACAATAAGACTCTCGTTAACATTTACCTATAGATAGGTAATATAAAAACAATCTATATTACCTTGGTCAATACCTTAAACATTTATACGTGTATTTTATTATAATATACGCAATTTCTAAACGTATTTCTGAACGTGTGAAAAACGTTTACTGCTTTAGCTTTCTGAAAACAAATTCGACCCATGTGAAATATTATTTTGAATATGCAACTTTTTTTGTTCTAAGATATATTTAATGGATTGAAGTATATTGAATCTATACAATATTCTAACATTGCAGAACTATTAACACTTACTCGGCCGGTGGTTAAGTGAGAGAATTTTCGTTGACGCTTGGCACTACTTTATAAGTTTGCAAAAAGGGAAGGTAAACTATGAACTCTGCTACCATACTTTTATTACCAATTTTATAACTTAGAAATAACTTCAATCTGCAACAAAGTCTGCACAGGCATATTATCCGCCCAGCCCTTTACTTAAGTTCATTAACACTAGAACAAACCCGACAAAGTGATGCAATTCAATTTTCTTATTTCTTATTTATTTAATTATTGACATTTTAAAATCGTTAAATATTCGAAATGATTCGAAAAATAAGTCGGTTCAATTTAATACTATACTCGAACAAGTATTTTTACTCGACCGGCCGGTTAGGTGTTAATAAACGAACCCAACGTTTTATATAAAACAACAGAGTTTCTAACGATAGTCTCCAGTAATTATGATACCGAAACGAGTATGTGTGCCAAATAAATTCGGATTTAATTCCGACGAAAGGTATTTAAAGAAACAGTTTATCTTAAAGGGAAAAGGTCGTTCGTTTATTGTAACATCCTGCAATTTGCAAGGCTTCTAACGATCATAAGGGGCGCGCGAGCGTGGCATCAGGAGGTGGAAGGATACAACCGGCACAGAAAATCTGATAAAATCGGTATATGAACCAGAGTGGCCTCGCTAATGAACGTAACACTTTCGCGTGGCGGCCGTGTGCGTGGATCTTTCTCCTTCACACGCGTAAGACGTGCGTGGCCGCATATACCGCGTTTAATTGACGGTGAGATACGCGAATGCTGTCTGCGCTGTCGGGGTTCCTTCTTTGAATTAGTCGTAAGAACACCTAATTAACGACGAAATTCGGAACGGTCAAGCATCAGGAGTTGATTTCTTCGGGAAAATCATCGCCGCGCGTTGAATGTTTCGAACGAAATCAGACCCGATCAAGATGAAACGAGAATTCCAAATGAAATTATTTGTCATTAAAGTAACCGAATTCGAGAACTTTTATTTAACAAACGGCAACGTGTTTGTTCCATTATGATTCACGAATATTTCGTTCGAGTGTCGAGGAAAACATTTACTGTAATTTTTATTTTAACTTTTGTATATTTCTCGGGTCAACATAATCTAAATAGAAACTACGTATCTTTGTTTCGCAGACATTGATCAATAAATTTGACCTCGGTCTTGGTAATTTTAACGCAATTATAAAGTAATAACTTTTCTTCTTTTTCTTTTAGGAACTTTGGGATAATTTTGTAAGGGTTAAAAATATATATAATAATAATAATAACAATAATAACAATCATAGTA